GGAGAGGGTGAGAGTGGTAGGGAGAGAGAGTGGTAGGGAGGGTGAGAGTGGTAGGGAGGGTGAGAGTGGTAGGGAGTGTGAGAGTGGTAGGGAGGGAAAGAGTGGTAGTAAAAAAGGCAGAGAGAAAGAGAGATTGAAAGAGAAAGCGAGAGAGAGAGAGAGAGATAGAGAGAACCAGATAAAAAAATACAGAGAGAGAGACAGACAGGAGAGATAAAGTGTGAAAAAGAAAATGAGAAAGAGAGAGAAAGTGAGAGGGAGAGAGTAATAATGAGAAATAGCAGGTCCTCCATCTAAGCCCCTCAAAATAATGTACATTAAAGTCAAATACTGATGAAGATATATCAGGTAGAGAGATAAAAAAACAGTAAGAAAAATAAATAGACCAAGAAAATGAGAGAAAAAAACAACAATAGTGACAGAGAGAACGAAAGAGAGACAGCGAGAGACAGAGAGATAAACTAGAATCTCTTAAGCCCGGAAATCTAAACATTTTTAATATAATGTCTTCCTATGAGTTACGTCTTATGACTCTTGTACTGATATTATTAAAATGCTGGAGAGAGAGAGAGAGAGAGAGAGAGAGAGAGAGAGAGAGAGAGAGAGAGAGATAACAAGTAAGAGAGAAAGAGAAAGAAAGTGAGTGAGAGACAGAGATAAGGTGAAAGAACAAGAGATAAAGAATGTGAGAGAGAGAGAGAGATGAGGTTCTCGTCGGCAAGGTAAACAGCTCACAGTTTCCTGCTGAAGGCAATGTCTCAGGTTGTCGCTCAGGAAGGCCAAGATACTGCCTCTGGGGTGGTGGTGATCCTGTGTCGGGGAGAGAGAGAGAGAGAGAGAGAGAGAGAGAGAGAGAGAGACCGAGACAGACAAACATACAGACAGAGTGAGATAGGTAGACAGACAGACAGAAGTTAAAAACCGTAGATTGATAGATTTATTTTGCAATTTTCTGAGGATAATAATAATAATAATAATAATAATAATAATAATAATAATAATAATAATAATAATAATAATAATAATAATAATAACTCACTTAACACACCTAAATACTTGGAGATGGAGAGATATTATTGTTGAAATGACTTAGAAATATTTCCACAAGTTTCTGATATAAATGTTGACGTCATATATCTCTTATCATCTCACACACACACACACCACCACACACACACACACACACACACACACACACACACACACACACACACACATATATATATATATACTATTACATAAAACTTATACCTATGCCTGACTGTGTGTCTAAATGTATGTATAATATCTGACTCTCTTCATTTCTCTCTCTCTTCTTCTCTCATCTGAAATTCCAATGTAGCGACGATAAAACAGAAAAACGATGCGCTGTATATTGTCACTGTAACCTATGGTCTTAATATACACTGCCATCATGTTTAACTTCTACATTTTGTATTTCAGTGATATGATTAATGAGATATAATTTCTTTAGTTAAATAAGTATGTGTGTGGAGAGAGAGAGAGAGAGAGAGAGAGAGAGAGAGAGAGAGAGAGAGAGAGAGAGAGAGAGAGAGAGAGAGACTATTACTACTCTTCACACAACTTTACGACTCAGACAGACGCGGGAAATTGTCCACACTATTTACGAGGTGACAACCCAGCCAGCTTGACTTGGTACGATAATTACCTTCTTGTGCAAGTAATCACCTGGAGGGCGTGTGTGTGTGTGTGTGTGTGTGTGTGTGGTTCCAGGTGTTGGGTGCCTCGGGGAAAAGGGGGGGTGGGGTAGTGTGGATACCTGTGGATACTTTAGTCGTTGTGTGGGTGAGGTAAATCGATGAGAATTGTGTTTCATTCTTGTTTACAGATTAAAGGTGTAGATGGTTTCTGTGTTACGTATCGTCGTTTGGTTTGTCTTTTAATCACTACTACTACTACTACTACTACTACTACTACTACTACTACTACCAAAAATCACTCACTACTAATCACCACAACCACAACAACTCACACAACAATAACTACAACCATAAATAATAAATAAATAAAAAAATTACCAAACTATACAACATCAAAAAATAACCCCGATATAACCTGTTGTATTTTCCAGAACGTTCAACTACCACCACCACAACCACCACCACCACCACTACCACCACTACCACCACGACTACCACCACTACACCGGAGTCTGCGCCCTCCACTGCTGACGAGAAGGGGCATCAAGGAGGAGGCGGTCAGCTGGATGGGAAGGTCCTCGAGAAAACATCTTTGATATCAGATTCTTCCTCTTCCTCCTCTTCCTCTTCCTCTTCCTCCTCCTCCTCTTCGTCACCATCATCAGCTTGGCAACGTAGGTGTTTTGTTATTGTACGTGTGTAGATTAAGTAGAATAAGGTACACTGTAAAATATGGTACACTGTAAAATAAGGTACACTGTAAAAGTAGGTACACTGTAAAATAAGGTACACTGTAAAAGTAGGTACACTGTAGAATAAGGTACACTGTAAAAGAAGGTACACTGTGATAAGGTACACTGTAAATAAGGTACACTGTAAATAAATATCGTAAAAGTTAGCTGCACACTGTAAATAAGGTACACTGTAAATAAGCTACATTGTAAAAATAAGCACACTGTAAAATAAGGTACACTGTAAAAGTAGGTACACTGTAGAATAAGGTACACTGTAAAAGAAGGTACACTGTGATAAGGTACACTGTAAATAAGGTACACTGTAAAATAAGGTATACACTGTAAATAAGTTACATTGTGTCGATGAGGAAAGCAACTTAGTGTGTCAAAATCAATTAAGGGGGCGAGAGTTAACACCACTTACCTGTTAATTACCTTCCTATTGATGATGTTAATGATGCTGAAGCCCTGTAACAGCCTCATTAACTGAGAGAGAGAGAGAGAGAGAGAGAGAGAAAAAAAGAGAGAGAGAGATTATATTATTTTCATTTGGAACAAGAAAGAAAGAGGATAGATAGATAGATAGATAGATAGATAGATAGATAGTCTTTATAATATTTGTTTTCATTCAGTAGTTTTTTTCCATTTTTGTCCTGAAGAATTTGGTGTGAAAGGATTTATATAACCTCAACAAAATCCCTGCAGACGAGTGTAAATCCGGGTTACATCAACGAACACATTGTTTACATTTCTTCATCTCTGGTTAACGCTCGCGTGTCTTTCAGGGTCAATTTATAATGATGTGTCTCTCTCTCTCTCTCTCTCTCTCTCTCTCTCTCTCTATCTCTCTCTCTCACTTAAACCCCCACCCACAGGAAACGATACACCCCTCCCCCCCCTCCTCCCTTCCTCCCCTCCCTCCTCCTCCCTACAAACACGTAATAATTTTGCGACCCCTCCCCCTCCAGGGTCCACTGCCCCCCAGGAGCTGGGTCCCACAGATGCTGCCCCCCACCATGTACAGGAAGCCGCCCCTGCCCACAGAAACCCCGCCCCACCCACTATGCTACTCCCCGGTGAGTTCCCTTGTACGCCCTTACTGACCGCCCTGACCACTCCTTATAAACCTACCCCAAAAACCACGCCCATACCCCAATAACCACGCCCATACTCCCCAATAACTACGCCCATACCCCCAATAACCACGCCCATAATTCCCCCCAATAACCACGCCCATACCCCCAATAACCACGCCCATACCTAATAACCACGCCCATATCCCCAATAACCACGCCCATACCCCCAATAACCACGCCCATACCCCAATAACCACGCCCATACCCCCAATAATAATCATTCGCCCATAATTCCCCAATAACCACGCCCATGCAATTTCAATAACCACGCCCATATCCCCAATAACCACGCCCATATCCCCAATAACTACGCCCATACCCCAATAACCACGCCCATACTCCCCAATAAATAACCAATTCCAATAACCACGCCCATACCTCAATAACCACGCCCATACCCCAATAACCACGCCCATACCCCCAATAACCACGCCCATACCCCAATAACCACGCCCATACTCCCAATAACCACGCCCATACCCCCAATAACCACGCCCATGCCCCCAAGGACGACGTTTACTTGGTATTAAGTAAGGTAACTAATTAGTGTCCATTCTATTTATCATTAACTTCATCTATATTATAATAACTGTATTCTGACTGTATTTAACTGTATCTTAACCATTTTATGATTATTTAACTATATTTCCACTATAAATCTGAGTGTATATAACTATTTTCACCGTTAGTATGACTGTATTTCAACTATTTATACCATAACATTATTGTATATTAACTATTTCATATTATTTCTGTATTTTCTGTATTTCAGTTTCAATACAGATGTCATCACCAGTATCATAACTAATGACTTGTATTTACCGTAGTACACGCTGTAAGCTTATGTATCCAGAATATTGATATGTCCCTGAAGTAGTGGTAATATTTGGTTAGGTAAAGTTTGTGGTGTAGTAATAGAGAAGGACAGAAACAGACAGAAGGAATGGGACAGAGATAGAGGAGAGAGATATGGACAGGTAGACAGAAAAGACACACAGACAGAAGAAAGGGAAAGAGATATGGACAAACAGACAGATAGAGAAAAATAGCAGACAGACAGGAAGACAGTAGACAGACAACTAGAAGAAAGGGAGAGAGAGAGATAGGCAATGAGACAGGCAACAGACAGAGAAAGACAGCAGACAGACATACAGAAGAAATGGAGAGAAAGATGGACGAACAGACAGGCAGACAAAGACAGCAGACAGACATATAGAAGAAAGAAAAATAGAGATAGATGGACGAACAGACAGGCAGACAAAGACAGCAGACAGACATACAGACGAAAGAGAGAGAGAGAGAGAGAGAGAGAGAGAGAGAGAGAGAGAGAGAGAGAGAGAGAGAGAGAGAGAGAGAGAGAGAGAGAGAGAGAGAGAGAGAGAGAGAGGGAGACTGACTGACTGCCACACCGCCGCAGGTAAACTCACCTACACCTGTTGTTGACACTTCAGATGCTGTCAGTACCTCCG